CTTATTCTTTCTGTTAAGTGCTTAAAAACAGGGTCTAAGTGGGGGAGGATTTTGAAAGTAATAATCAAGAATTATTTGACCCTTTGAGGAGCCTTCACTTCTGAGAGTTCATTTCTCACACTACCTTCTGAACTCATTACCTTAATTACACTGAGAAGTCTTCACTGGGACATCCCATTCGAAAGGAAAAGAAAAAAAAGTGTTCACTAAAAAATATTGCCAACACAGGCTATACTCAATCTTTTTATATCAGATATTGGGAGTGAGAAGTGTAGACTGTATTTTGATCACCACAATAGTTACATTGTGGTTACTTTTTATGTTAATCTTTCATATATTCATTCAATCAACCAATAAGTATTTCCGTACTCCTCTGAATTTCCTCACACCCCCCCTCCTACCCTGAAAACTTTCATTCCTCCATTCCCCTTCTCAGCTTTTAATATGTTATCTTTCCCCATTAGATTGTGAGCTCCTTGAGGACTGTCTTTTGTGTCTTTTTTTATCCCTAGCACTTAGCAATGTGCCTAGCACATAGTAGGCACTTGATATGTCTACTGATTGTATTGAATTTATTTTATTTTTATTGAAGTAACAGACCTGAGGTAAAATCCAGCCTCAAACATACTTACTAGCTGTGTGACCCTGGGTAAGTCACTTATCCTCATTTTGCCACAGTTCCTCATCTGCGAAGTGATCTGCAGAAGGAAATGGCAAACTACTCCAGTAGCTTTGCCAAGAAAACCCCAAATGAGGTCACAGAGGGGTGTACATGACTGAAACAACTCAACAACAAACTATATACCAAGCATAGTGCTACACAAAATGATTCCAGACCTATGTCCTTTTCTAGTTATCTATTCCTCCTAGAATTAGAGTCTCAAAACTGGAAAAGACCTACAAAGCCATCTAGTATAACCAGCTCCTGAGCAAGAATCCCCTCAATAGCATTGCCAACCAGTGGTCATCCATCATTTGCTTAAAGAACCCCAGTGGGAGAGGGGCACCCCAGGACCTCGAAAGGCAGCCCATCCCATTTTGGGATAGCTATAATGGTTAGGCATTTTCCCCCTATTTCTTTATAATATTTGCCTCTTTGTAACACCTACTCTTTGCTCCTGGTTCTGCCTTTTGGGCCTAAGCAGAAGTCAGATACCTTTTCCATGTGAGAGCCCTTCAATCATAGCTTTTACTTCCTAGGTCACTTCCTAGGGTGTCTGTTTCTTTGATTAGTCTTACTACTTCACCGTTATCCACATACTTCCCTTTACTGCCACCAGCAATAACCTCAGGAGACCTTAAAGTTTCCAGGACCAACCAGGCAACCGAGAAGGAGAAATAAAAAAGCTTTATTCATCCATAATACAAAGTAAATAGTTTTAGTGAGGATTATTTTCCAGGAGACACTTTTTTAATTATTTCCAAATTTGGGATTGTGTCCAGGGTAACTGAAATTGCTGGAAGTCCGACTTCTAGATAAACAGGTTACTTCTTTATAAATAGGGTATTTCCAAAATTTGCAATAATAATAAGGAACTCTTTATATTGTTATTATAAGAGCTAATAGATGATAATATTGGCAATGCTCTAGGATCTTCACTGAAAACAGACCAACTCTGTTAGCCAGAGCATATTAGATTCATATTACACCAAAGTATGATTCGTTGTCTCAAGGTAAGCAAAACTCTCCTTTGATTAATACTTACTGATTTTTGCTATTGCCTCCAAAGAAGTTATCATCTGTATACTAATAAATTTGGGGATAGGGATTTTGCAGACTTCTCATGTACCTTTAGACAGGTGCTTCAGTAAATTTCCTCCTGCTTTCCCTATTATAAATTCTAATAAACATTTCCTCAGTTGTTCAATAACTGCTTCATTTTGAATCACAGCTTTTGCTGAATTTCTGTATCTCTTCACACAAGCTCAGATGAACCTACCCATTTCCACAAAATCAGCAGCTTCCACAAAACCCTGAGCAACCAAAGAGAATTATATATTATTCTGCTGTAAAATATTTGTGATGAAGTTTGAGCAGAGAGAATTTTTATTCTAGCATGTTCTGCTTGGTTAAGCATTCATAGTTTTTCTCCTTTTGCTTCTAAGTCCTTGTACCACACATAAAAATAGTCCTACCTACATTGCTATTTTGTTACTTTAATTTTGAGTTTTATTTTAGCAAATAACATCATTTTCCTTTTAAATCTATGTGATCTTAGTGCATTCTTTAATATCAGTCCGTTAACAAACATTTAGTAAGTTTACTACGTGCCAGGCACTGTTATTAAGCACTGAATGCAAAGTAAAGCAAAAAACACAGACCCAGTCCTCAAAAAGCATTCATTCTGCAGATCAAAGCATACTGTTTCTACTTTTTTTGGGTGTGGTTTTTGCCTTTTTTTTTCCTGTTTCTTCTTTCACAAAATAACTAATGTGTAAATATGTTTTACATTATTTCATATATGTAACCTATATCAGATTGTTTGCCATCTTGGGGATGGAGGAGGGGACAGAGGGGGAAAAAATTGGAACTCAAAATCTTTCAAAAGGTAAATGTTGAAAATTGTCTTTACATGTAATTAGAAAAAAACAAAATACTGTTTGAAAAAAAAGAAAGTTCCTTCTAGTCTTAAAAAAAAAGTATTCATTCTAATGGAGGAAATAACATGTAAATAATAAGGTTTAGCCAAGATAGAGAGAAAATGGAAGGTAACTTTAGGGGGAAAGGCATTAGTAAATGGAGGGGACCAGGAAAAGCCTCCTAAAGAAAGTGAGTTTAGAGCTTTGAAGGAAGCTAAGAGGCAACTGGAGGGGTTAGAACATTCCAGGCATGGGCAACAATGAAAAGGTAAAGAAATGAAAGATGGAGTGTCATGTTTGAAGTTCGAAGGTAAGTCAGTGTCTGCTGGATTATGGAATTCAGGGGAGGAAGGTGTAAAAAGACTGTTAAGAGATGAATATGCTAGGTTACAAAAAGCTTTAAATGCCAAATGGAAGACTTTATATTTGATTTTGGAAGTAATAGGGAGCCATTGCATCTCATTGGATAGGGCCCTGACATGGTCAGACCTACACTTCAGAAAAATCACCTTGGCAGCTAAGTAGTATATGGACTAGAGAGGGAAGAGACTTAGGGCAGACATACCATTTATTCATTCATTTACCCAACAGACATTTATTAAGCACCTACTGTGTGCCATATTATAATAAGTGATAGGGATAAAGAAGTGGCCAAAAACAGTCCTTGCCATCAAGTAGCTTACAATCTAATGGGACAAAAGACACCAAACAAATATATACAAAGCAAGCTATATACATGATAAATAGGAAATAATTAAAAGAGGAAGAGCATTAGAATTAAGAGGGGTTAGGAAAGGCTTCCTGTAGAAGGAGGGATTTTAGTTGGTACTTGGCAGTCGAGGCAAAAGGTGATGAGAACCTGTATTAGAGGTGTAGGTATATGAGTGGAGAGAAGAGGACATATATAAGAGATCTGAAGGGTAGAAACTACAGATTTGGCAATGAATCCAATACATGGAGTGAGATTAAGAAATGGAGGATGACTGGGAGGTTGTGAATCTGTGTGACTGGCAGCATGGTGACAGTCAAAGGCAAGTTCAGAAGGGGGGGAGCCCACTGGGGGGAATAGGAGGAAGATGTTTGGAACATACTGAGTTTAAAATTTCCAAGAGAAAAGAGTCCAGAGAAGAATATATAGACCAGAGAATCATCTGTATGGAGATGATAATTGAACCCATGGAAACTAATGAGGTTACCAAGTAAGATGGCACAGAGCCAAAAGGAGAAGGATCATAGACCACTGGTGGGTATTCCCTGGGTATGACATGGCTTAGGAACCAGCAAAGGAAACTGAGGATTGGTCAGTCAGATAGGAGGAGAGCCAACAGAGAATAGCGTCACAGAAACCTAGGAAGGAAAGAAGGACCAGAAGGTGATCCACCGCGTCAAAGGCTACAGAGAGGTCAGGGAGGCCCAGGTTTGAGAAAAGGCCTGTCTTTGAAGGAAACCACATCACTCATAACCAAATCCAATGGAGAAAATCAATTATGTAATTGTGTTATGGCCAACTTTTCAGGAATGCATTAATTTTTAGGGAGAATCTGTCTTCTTACTGCTTTTAGCATTTTTAAGAGAATGTTCCATTGCCCTGTTAGTAGTTTAAAACATTTAAATTATAATATTGTTACCCCTCCAGTCATTTCTCTAAACCAGCAGTTTTCAAAGGGTGTGCCTCAAGTTCTGGCTTGAATTGTATGGAATTTCTACTTGTAATTACAATAGTGTGCTGGGATTCCTCCTAGTAAAGAATAATAAAGTTGAAAACCACTTTTATATCTGTTACATGCATCTCCTTCCTTCCCATCTTTAGAAAGGGAAGGGGAGGGAAGATGAAATCTGATTATAAGGGAAATTGAGGATTGGTGAATCTGGTTTTTATGATGCTCTGGACCACTATTCTTTTCTTCTGCCATCAAATCCAAGGATTTAGCTCAGTGGCATGCCCTCATGGTTTCTTCTTATGGTTACCACTTCTCCTGTTTCCTGAGTGCCCTTGAAAATGAACACAAGCTATAATAAAAAATGCAGCCATTTTCCTTTTCCCACAGTTCTCTCTGTTCCCTGATAGTTAATCAATGAATAAATCAACAAGTAAATATGTGCCAGGCACTGGGGATTTAAAGATTAACATTTTAAAACTCCCTGCCCTCAAGGATACTTAACCTCTATTTGCCTCAGTTTCCTCAACTGCAAAATGGAGAGAATATCAGCCCCACCTCGAAGGGTTGTTGTGAGGATCAAATGAGGTAATATTTGTAAAGCACAGGCCTGATTTCAATAAATCCAGGATGGTCAGACCTGCATGTTAGGAAAATCATGTTTTAGAAAAACCAGCTCATGATAATTCTTAGCAGGGCTGTACCCCCAGCAGATAGCTACCCCAAGTCCAATGTACTCTGAGTACCCAAATCTGTTAAAAACATAGTTCACAAGCATTCACTACTGTTTTTGCCTTTAATATCAACAGTTAATAAAATGGCCTAATAAGAAACAGAAATATACACCCAAGGCATGCTATCCCCCAAATGCACATTGTGTCAGTGAGAAGAGTTAGGCATATGTAAGGACACACATGGAAAGACACATCTGTAGCCAGGTAACACACCAGGAAGGGCACATGCAAAGGGAATATGTGAGGCTAATGTGAGCACACTGATGGATGTAAATGGAGTGAACACCTCTGGCCAGGAAACACAGGCAGAGGCCCACATGCACAGAGCACATGTAGGGAAGGGGCCGCTCAGGTTGATGTCACGCTCTTCTCATCATCTCTGTTGGCCTGGTCTATGCTGGATGCTGCAGGACACATAGTGTCTACCATTCACTGCTCTGCTCTCCTCTCCTCCAGATGCTGCCCCTCCAGAAGCTGTTCTGCTGGACTTGTTTTCTCCATTGGACCCTGCAAGCAAAGTCTTCACCAGATGTTGTTCTGCTCTTGCAGATTCTGGCTTAGCTGAAATCCTTGGCTATATTTTCCTCAGGGGAGAATGGGTGTTACCATGCTTTCCCTTCCTGCTCCCCCACCCCCCCAGCTCCTTTTTTAAAAAAGCAGAAACTTTGGCTTAAGAATTTTTAAAAAAGCCTCCACCCAGGTTCTCTGGTCTTGTTCCCCCAAAATCTTGGCTCCTGAAGCCTCTCCTCTTCCCAGCTCAAGATTTTTGGCTCCAGGTCCCAAGCTCTTTAGAACAAAAAGCAGGGTCCTCCCAGCTTGCTAATGTCCTGAGGACTAATTTTTCCTTTGGGCTCTTCTTTCTGTTTCAGCGACTTTTGGTGCAGTTTCTGTCCTAGACTTCCCCTTAGCTCATGATGTGCATTCCACATATCTCCCATAATTATGTCTCTGAGGGCTAAACAATAAACTAGGTAATGATTATTTGCCTAATAATAACCAAACAACTCTGGGATTCAGGGTTACCTAGTTTTCAAAATCTAGGTCTCTTCCATTCTCCTTTTGTAGATGAAAAATAAGGGGAAAAGTCACAAGATGCAGTAAATCTAGGGGACAAGGCCTTTCTTTGTCTCTTCTACCATACTGTTCATTCCTGGCTTTTTCATATTCAGATAAAGGATAAAGTCAGACCAAAGCTTCAGAGGGGCTTTGAGGCATGCCCTTACAGCTAGCTACTTTGAGAAAGAGAGAGAGAGAGAGAGAGAGAGAGAGAGAGAGAGAGAGAGAGAGAGAGAGAGAGAGAGAGAGAGAGAGAGAGAGATTTGCTGTCTGGAAGACTGGGATATCAAAAAAAATTTTTTAAAGGAGAACTTTACAAATTTGCAATGGTATTATGCTTCACTCACGCTAGATTGAATGGCCCTATATGGACCTGGAGACATCCCTTCTTCCTCTTCACTATACCCTCCAATATCAGATGAGAGATTTTTCCTTCTTTAGTTTGTTAAGTTGTGTCCCTTGCGGAAGCTTCAAGCATCTGCCTCCCAAGGAGAGTCATTTGTTAACACATAGGCCTAGGAGTTGAAACAAACAAATAAAAAAACCAACAACCCTACAATAGGACATTTTCTCCCCTACCTATTTGGGTAGGGCCTGTCACTAGACTAAAGAGTATATAGGTCATGGAGTTAGGATGTATGGGTTCAAGTTGACACATCTTACCTGTGTGACCTTGGGCAAGTCACTTCAGTTTTCTGACTCTTAGTTTCCCTGTAGCAAGTATGTGCTCTGGCCCGTCATCCCAGGGCCAGCTAGGCTCTTTTTGCTCTCCAGGGGTTCTAGGGTACTCTGAGAGGTGTGTGGTAGTGTTTCTCTTCTAATACAATCAGCCTAAGTTACCCAACATCTGTGTCCTTCCCCCATTGTTAGACGCCAGAGATTAGCCCTGCCCGTTAAACGCTTAACGTCCATGAGCTTTTATAAAGGAATATTTACTTTGAAACTATAGTGAGAACAAATGTACAAATTCGCCCCCCTCCCCTGCACTGCACCTGGGGCCATACACTTCCCTATTCCATCTTGGTCTCTGGAGAAGGAAGGCTAAACTTAGTTTAGTTCTTACAATGTATTGGTCTCACCAGGTTCATGTCCAGATGTATTATGACTTCCAAATTAGTCTTCATTTCAGCTTCCACTGGTCAGAGTCCAGAAGTTTGCTCCTGAAAGTTATTCATTGTTCCTCAAGGCATCAAAGTTGGGCTGGCTGAAAAACTTAGCCTGGATTCTGACTCCCGGATTCCTGTGGTTTGCTTTCCTGATCTTTTGAGACTCACAGGGTCAACAACTCCACTCCCTTCACCTAGAAAGGAAAAAAAAAAAACAAATGCAGAGACCAAAGGCCAAAGCCACTCTCAAATCCAGATCCATTCAATAGGGAGGCCCCACAGCCTCTCTCTTGACAACTTCATCTCCTACCAGATGCCAGGCAACTGCATTGGCCAAAAGGACCGAGACAAGTGAGACCTGAGAGACCACTAAGGCCTTTTAAATGCCTCCCTGATGAATCAAAAGGCTGCCCACTCACCACTGTGAATTAGCAGCCAAGAACCAGTTACAGTACATCTGAGCATACTCCACAGGCTCTCCGAGGCAATTGTCACCACTCTCCCTGAGGCAGGTTTCCCGGCTTCAAGTAGGAGAGGTTGCATCAGCTGAGCAAAATGATGAGATCTGGCATATCCATTACATCTATAAAATGGGGATAATAATTCTTGCCCTACCAATCTTATAGGATGATTATGAGAAAATGCTTTACAAACCTTAAAGTATTATAGAAATGCATATCATCATCATCATCATCATCATCTTCCAGCTTCAGTATTTCAGCTATTTTCCAGCTTCACTTGGATGGTCAGTTATAATGAATTTCTTTCCTAAGTCTGTTATATCAAATATCTCCCTGCCAATCTTTGTTCTTCTCACCATCTTTGACTTTAAATACATTGTAGCCAGAGGAAACATACATATGTGTTTGACTGTGGGCTTATATGCCTACTTTTGGAAAAAGCTAAAAAGAGGGGAACAGTCTGTCAGCCTGGCCTGGGAAACAAACAAAAAGCCTATTGTAATTTATCTAACAATAGGGAGAAAAGTCATTTAGGAAATTAGAAGGAATAGCATGCTACGGTTCTCAAAATGTTTGGTATCTTCTTTACACTCTTAACAATTATTGAGGACTGGGACGACTAGGTGGCACAGTGGATAGAGCACCACCAACCTTGAAGTCAGGAGGACCTGAGTTCAAATCCCACCTCAGACCAAACACTTTATTTGCTAGCTGTGAGACCCTGGGCAAGTCACTTGCCCCCAGCTGCCTAAAAAGAAAAAAAAATTTTTGAGGACCTACAGGCCAGAGCTTTTGTTTGTTTTAGTTATATCTATCAATATTTACTGTGTTAGAAGTTAAAGTGTTTTAGTATTATTCTGAAAATAATTTTGACTTCCCAAACTCCCTAAAAGAGAACTGCTAGATAGAGATATGAATATAGGTGAGAGGAAGGGAGAATAGGAAAAAAAGAATCCTTGTAGCTTATTTCCACATACCCCCACCCACCTCCAGAGGAAAGAGCAGTTGCTCTATTCAAAGTGGATTCAAAGGAAAGCCGCATTTCCCTTTGTTACTTGGATTAGAGGCTTGAAGCTTTGTCAGGCCCAACCAAGTACCTGTACTAATGGGTCATAGAGCTCAGTACCACATATGTGTCTACCATGTACCATGTACCAAGTTATACTGAGCTGGTTTGTAGACATGCTGGGCTATCATTCGCTGTTGCTTATTCCCCCCCACCTATTTGTGTACAGAGTTAATCCTTTTGGGGGTTTGATTCTCTTTCTTGGCTCTCTATTCTATGAGCAGCATTCTTCCAAACCAAGCCAGGGGAGATGGAGGAGGCTCTGTTTCCTCAGCACCAGCTCAGCTAGCAGTCCCTACTACAGGCCTAGTGTCTGGGTTCTACAGCAGGACTTCTTAAACATGTTTTTGAGCATCTTGGACCTTCTTTGGAGCTCTGATGAAGCCTAGGATCCTTTCCCAGAATGTTTATTGCCAACATACATAATGAAAGGAAATGCAGCTAGATGGCACAGTGGATAGAGCATCTGCCCTGGAGTCAGGAGAACCTGACTTCAAACCCAGCCTCAGACACTTACTAGCTGTGTGCTAGTTACTTAGTCACTAGTCACCTAGTTGAGTCACTTAACCCCAATTGCTTCAAAAAGAAAGAAAGAAAGGAAAGGCTAAATTTCAGTTTGAGATTAGTAAAAATAAAGATGCAAATCTTTTTTTCCCTTCCAAATTCACAGACCACTTGAATTGTACCCACTGTACCCTTAGATTAAGAACTTCTGCTTTAGAAAAGATTGTAACCTACTATAGATCAGTGACTGTCTTTCACCTTTGTTTGTGTCCCCAGCACTTAGCACATAGTATCTTTACTAAATGTTTATTGACTGACTGACTTTCTGTCCTGGAAAGTTGCAAAACTGAATCACATTGTTCTTCCGCTCAGATATGCTCTGGCACTACCTAGCAGTTTTAAAACAATGTCTCTTTCCTCCTGGGATGCTTTAGAATTGCCATTCTCAATGAAATTCCAACCCATAGATTAGCAGTGCTGGTGTTTAACAGCTTTTATCAAGATTGCCAGCTTTAGACACAAAGTAAAGAGTTAAACATGGAAAAGTTAACAAACTTGTAAGGGACAAGGAACAGAGGTAAGCTTGACTTCACCAGACTTCCCTTCCCACTCTCTATATTCCAGCCCACACGGCCTACTGCCCCCAGAGGGCAACTTTTTACCTCCAGCCTTCTTATTTTTCCTACCCTCCTGGAATTCCTTCCTTCCTCATCTTTACCTCTGAAAATCAGGTCAGAGAACAATATAAATTGAATTTTTTAAGAGGATACCACCATGTACAAAGCTGACTTAGCAAAAGCAAAAGTATAGGCCAAACAGCTGGATTTTAACCAATTTAAGTATGTGAGGGAAGTACATTGTTATTTCAAGTAACAGTTTTGATTTTCTCCTGGAGTGTAAAAAAAAAGGAACAGGGCATTCTAATATGAAGTCTCAACTCTGAAGAATTGCTGGTACTCTTTCCCTCCTCATGCTATCTTCCATTTGCTTCTGTCTATAACCCATGCCCTAACACAATAGAATGTAAACTCTTTGAATAAATGAATGAAAAAAAAAGTTATTAAGCTCTTACTATGTACGAGGAACTCTGATACAATATAGGGATACAACGTGAAAGTGAGACACTCCTTTTCTTTGAGAAATTTGTATTTTACTTAGGGGAATGGTAGCCAGAGAAAGGAGTTTTGGGATGGAGAGTCAAAGGGATGGCAACTTGATTCCTGGATAGTTGATTGATATGCCCTTTACAAAGGCAGTGGTAGTATTGAATGGATTACTATGCTCAGACTGAAAAGGGGGGAGGGAAGCATAGTAAAATGGATAGCAAGATGGCTATAGTGGATGGCTGGATGAGATGTGAAGCATGGTCTTGGCCTGAGTCTAGAAAATTAATAATAATAATAATAATAAACAACAGCAATTATAATATATAGCTATTTAAGATTTGCAAAATACTTTACATGTGTTTTCTCACTTGAACTTCACAGTAATCTTGTGAAGTAGGTACTATTATCCCCATTTTATAGATGAGGAAATGGAAGCTGAGACAGTTAAATGACTTGTCCAGGGTCACAGAGTGCCTGAGGCAGGATTCAAACTCTGGTCTTTCTTAGCCCAAGTCAATACCCTATCCATTTCAAAACCTAGGAGAGAGACAGACAGAGAGACAGACAGAGACAGACAGAGACAGAGAGATAGAGGACAGAGAGATAAAAACAGACAGAAATAGAGAGACAGAGAAGAAAGAGCGGAGGGAGAGAAGGAGGCACAGAGAGAGAGAGAGAGAGAGAGAGAGAGAGAGAGAGAGAGAGAGAGAGAGAGAGAGCCACAGCCAGAGACAGAGAGAGAGGTCTAAGTGAATTTGGATTTACTAATCAAGAGATCTCATCCACCCTCTAACAGTCAGGTATCATAGATGTAAAAGTGTATAGGAATAATTGACTTTAATACTTAATTGTTAGGAAAAATGAGTTAGAATGTTACCAAATGGTCCCCTTCCTCTGGGAGTGAGGGGGTGGGGACGGAAGAGCCTTATGATCCACAACCTCTGGGGGTCCAAAATCCTCTCACCTCCACTGGGTAGTGTTCGCTGCTAGCCCCAAATAAGGATTCCTTTTCTGAAGACTGCCTCAGAGTGAAGTTTGTGGTGCTCATTCCAGGTTTAAAAATTCTTAGTTAAGGCTCTATTTAAGAGATGCTTGTTGAATTAAAGTGAATAATGAAAAATACATGAGAAGAGCCAGGGACTTGAATATTATACCCAATATCATATGATTGGTCAATTTGCTGACCAGAAGGAAAGGACTGCTGTCATTGGCTAAGAACGCCCATACACAGTGCCAAGTTACACAGCATGAAAGATTATGACTTGTAAGAAAATCAGGCATTAACATAGTCCAGGAGGGTCCCATGAGGCCCAGCCTTAATGTTGTAGCAGAATATCAAAAGGAAAGGAAGATATGAGTTTCAAAAGCTTTTTGGTTTTTTGCTTTTTTTGGTAAAAAGAGCTTTTTTTGGATTGGCTTTAAAGAAAATCCTGTACTCTGTGTAAGCAGGAAAACAGTATTTTATCTTTATTCCTGTGTCTGTTTGTATTCTTGCTCGTCAGCATTTAGTCTTACATGAAAACAGCTGCTCACACCAGACATTTGGAATACAGCCTTGTGGTTAGGACCTCTCAGGCTGTTTGCTGGAATAACCTGGAAACATTAGACGCCAAGAAGATCAGCATTAAAACTAACCTTTGGATTTATTCATACTGTCTGAAGTTTTCAGAGATACCTAGGCCAGAATACAACCATTTCCCAAAGTTGGCTTTTGTATTAGGGACTTTTGCAATAAGGCTAAGTTTAAGAGTCTGCATGATTTAACAACAAGATCTTCCAGGATTCTCTTACTGGCTAGAGATCCCTGGTGGTCCTTATTTAACAGTAAGCTGCAAGGCCAAATGTAGAAATCGTAGGTAAGAAGAGAGGCACTGTGCTACAGTGAAAGAGATCTAGGTTAGGCTCAGAAGACCTGTATTCAAATCTTGGCTTTGTCACTTACTACCTGAATGATCGTAGAGAGCTAGGTGGCTTAGTGAATAGAGTGCCAGGCCTGGGGTCAGGAAGACTCATCCTCCTAAGTTCAAATCTGCCCTCAGCCACTGGTTGTGTGACCCCAGGCAAGTTACTTAATCCTGTTGGTCTCCATTTCCTCACCTGTCAAATGAGCTGGAGAAGGCAATGGCAAGTCACTCCAATATCTTTGCCAAGAAAACCCCAAATGGGGTCAAGAAGAGTCAGACACAGCTGACAAATGAACAACAAAAACCTGCATGATCGTAAGCAAGTCATTTAACCACTCTGGTCTCACTTTCCTCATCTACAAAATAAGGAAGCTGGACAAATTGGCCTCTTGAGGTTCCTTCCAACTCCAGATCTAAATGAACTTATAAACCTTTATCTGTGTGACCTCAAGCAAGTTACTTACCCTCTCTGGTTTTGGTTTCCTTAATTGCAAAACGAGATCAGACAAGATGACATCAGAAGTCTCTTTCATTTTAAAAATCTAAGAGGAATATGAAAATAAGATGCTGAAACAATGATGAGGCAAAATGTGAATAGGTTTCTGAAGTCTGAGTGGTGGAGAGAGAAGAGAGAAGAGGAAGGAAAAGGCCAAAGCAGCTGAAAGTACGGAACCAGAACATTGTGTACATTGACCACATCAGTGAAGCAAAGGAAAAGAATGGGGCAGCTAGGTGGCACAGTGGATAGAGCACCAGCCCTGAAGTCAGGAGGACCTGAGTTCAAATCTGGCCTCAGACCAAACATTTGTCACTTACTAGCTGTGAGACCCTGGGCAAATCACTTAACTCCAATTGCCAAAAAAGAAAAAGAAAAGGAAAATAAACCAATATGATGGCTGGACTTCCAACATACTTGGAAAGGGATATAGAACAAACATTTACTTGTTTGTTAATTATTTGTTCAGCTTAGGGCCATGGATTTAGAGCTGGAAGTGACTCAAAAGCCTCTGAGTCCAAGCGCATCATTTTATAGCTGAAGAAGTGATTTTTCGGAGGGTCACATAGTAAAATGTCTGATGTGAGACTAAAACTCAGTATTGCCTGACTGCAGGTGCCTCATCTACCACACCACATTGGCATATTTTACTCTGTATTTAATTTACTTAGTGATTAGTCTTTTTTTTTTGTTCCAAATTTTTTCTTTCCCTCCACCCACTGAAAAAGCAAGAAATATGATGCCCATTATATATGAAGTCATGAAAAACATTTTCACATTAGCCAGCTTATGGGAAGAAAAATAAAGAAAATGAATAAAATATGCTTCAATCTGTACTCAGAGTTCACCAGTTTTGTCTCTGGAGGTGGATAGTATTTTTTATCATAAGTCCTTCGAAATTGTCACGGATCATCTATTGATCAGAATAGCAAAGTCTTTAGCTTTCAAAGTTGATTATCATTACAATGTTGCTGTTACTGTGTACAATGTTCTCCTAGTTCTGCTCACTTCACTTTGCATCAGTTCGTGTAAGTCTTTCCAGGTTTTTTCAGAGAGCATCCTGCTCATCATTTCTTATAGCACAATGGTATTCCATTACATTCATATACCACAACTTGTTCAGCCATTCTCTAATTGATGGGCATCCCCTCAATTTCCAATTCTTTGCCATTACAAAAAGAGCTGCTATAAATATTTTTGTACATGTGGTCCTTTTCCATTTCCTTTGATCTCTGGTCTTTAGTCTAGGTATTGTTGGGTCAAAGGGTATGCACAGTTTTATAGCAGTTTGGTTGTTGCCGTTTACTTGTTCAGCAAGCAACTGTTTGCAGTTGTAACCACATAGACCATAGCACACCACGCCCTTCTAGCCTCCACTATCTCTCAACGTCTGTCCAAGTTCATGTTCATTGTTACCATGACACTATCTATCCATCTCATTCTGGGCCTTTTCCTCTTTTCCTTTTGCCTTTAATATTTCCCAACATCAGGGTCTTTTCCAATGAGTCCCATCTTTTCATTGTGTAGCCAAAGTATTTAAATTTCAGCTTCAGTATTTGACCTTCCAATGAATAGTTTCAATTAATTTCTTTAAGTATTGACTAGTTTGACCTCCTTGCTGTCCAAGGCACTCAAAAGTCTTCTCCAGCACCACAATTAGAAAATGTTGATTCTGAAGCACTCAGCTTTCCTTATAGTCCAACTCCCACAGCCATACATTGCTATTAGAAAGACCTTGGCTTTGACTATACATACCTGCTTCCAAATGATTCTCCAGAATGGTTGGAGCAGTTCACAGATCCACCAACAGTGCATTAGTGTCCCTATTTTTCCACATGCCCTCCAGCATTTGTCATTTTCCTTATCTGTCATCTTAGCCAAATGATTTATCTTTGTTGATGTCTCTCTATCTCACCCTTAAGCCCTCTGTAAAATCAGCTAAAACATCCTTGCCTGACTCCCTTCACTTTGTCCTTTATTGTCTCCTCTTACAGGTATCAGGGGGCTTTAGAGGTCATATAGGTCAACCTCTCACCCCATACAGAAATCTCACCTCAATATCTCTCATACATGTGGTCTTTCCCTCCTTAGATAACCTTGTGTGTTGGAGGTGTAACTAAATTTCCCAGCTGGATTGAGATGTGGAAGAGACGTGATAATAGTAATAACAGCTAGCATTTACACACCTCTTTAAGGTATAAATCGTTGTTATTAACTTCTATATTTTACAGAGAAGGAAACTGAGGCTGATTGAAGTGAGTTACCCAGATAATAAGCTGGTGAGTTAGTATCAGGTAGTATCTGAGGTGGGCTTCAAACTCCGTCCTTCCTGACTCCAGGTAAATCCAGTGCTCTCTCCACTAAGTTGCCTAAGCAGCCTCACAAGGCAAGTAATGAGGCCTCCTCAGCTCAGCTGGGCTTGACTGACCAACTTCTGGAACAGCAGTGGTCTGGGACACACATTCTCAATCATGAGTTCTTACAAGTGAAAAGAATGGAACTTTGAGTGACACAATGACATAATTAACAGTCAGACAGAAATAAATGGGGGTTTGCATCTAGGGCATTTTATCAGTGCTTTGTCTCAGTGCTTAGGGTTTCAGGGACAGATAGAAACACAGCTTAGTTTTCTTTTAAATATTCAGTTCATAGACACTTTATAGGATTAGGCTAGGGTACTAACTCTACAGAATTGTCAGAGGAGTGTTACTTGTTTTGGTTCTTCAGAAAATTCTAATTCTATACAATTCACTGTCTCTACAACCCCAGACAATTTGGCTTTGGCTTTCTCTACTTTCCTGAAACTCCAGTTCCCAAGGTTACCAATGACCTCCTCCTGTTCAAATCTGTCTTTTCTAGTCTTCGTCCTCCTTGACCTTTCTGAAGTACTTTGCCCCTTTAGTCTCTTCTTCTGGACGATCTCTCTTCCCTTGGCTTCTGATATACTTCTTTCTTATTTTTCCTGCCACAGGCTCTTTTTCATCTTCCCAACTCTTTGGCCCAAAGCTCCCTAAGGATCTCTCCCAATCCCCCATCTCTATTCTCTCTTTACTCTCTCCTTCGGAAATTTCACTCTCTTTTCTGAAATTAACAAATCAATATCTCTATGTACATGACTCCTAAATCTATATCTCCTGCCATAAATTCTTTTTCAAGCTACATACTAAAATTTCTAACTCTGTATGGGTTAATTTAATCTGGATGTCCCACCAACACTTGTAATTTAATATCTCCAAAGCCAAGCTAATTATTTCTCTCCCCCCCCCATCTGAATTTGTTGTTGTTCAGTTGTGTCTGACTCTCTGTGACCCCATTTGGGGTTTTCTTGGCAAAGATACTGGAGTACTTTGCCATTTCCTTCTCCAGCTTATTTTATAGGTGAGGAAACTGAGGCAAACAGGATTAAGTGACTTGCTCATGATCACACAGCTAGTAAGTGTCTGAGGCCAGATTTGAACTCAGGAAGATGAGTCTTCTTCTTCCTGACTCCAGGCCTGATACTCAATCCACTGTGCCACCTAGCTTCCCCCAAATATCTGAATTTACTCTTTCTGTTAATGGCATCATTGACAGTTGTCTGTGTTTGAAACCTTTGACTCTTCCTTTTCCTTTATTTCCTATCCTAATAGCCAGCACAGTTGGTGAAGACCCCCTTTAAAATATCTCATGCCTACATCTCCTGCTCCCA